AACATAAATGTAGTTTCTTCGGGAATTAATTATATAGCTTATACACGTATGCAGGCATATTTCTTAGAAGATGCACCATTACTGGAAATTAGTTTGTATGGTAGCAACAAAAATGGCCGAATTGCCCCCAGTTGCCTGTATGATATGTGTTGAACTGCCCCAAATATGCACAGCAATAGTGCCGTAATTTGGAATGTTTATACTTTTTCCTGACATTCCTTATTCCAGGCTTGGGTATTCGGAAAATACACCGTTTTGTGTGAATTGTCATTTCCAATTAAAAGAGACACTGCAGCAGGTCCCCAAAAGCTTCCTCAGCCTCCGAACTTCCTACAGCTGGACTCTCTGACAACAGAAGAAAACAGGAGTGAAAGCAAGCATTTGAACGTCTGTCCAGTTGTAGATGCAGCACTATACCCGTTTTCACCTCAAGAACCGCAGTAAAACAAGTCCGGCTCCTCGCGGAGCATTACTAAGTTCCCCCTTTATGTTGATAATTAAGATATATACAGGTGATAAGATAACATAAGAATGTTATCTTATCAAGACGTAAACATTTCAAGCGCTAAAAGCAACGCTGTTTTCTTCCATGACCAAAAATCGTAAAAACTACTTCGCGGCGGCGCGTATGAACAATGCGCAAAAATTGGTTTTTTTGAGGTGAAAACGGGTATAGTACCAGAAAATGTGGAACCTGTGAAGGGCGACAGTCTGCGTTCACAGATACCACCAGTGGAGTCCATTGAAATACTATCCGAATCCAGCAAGGTCAAATGCGAGCAATGTATTTAATCAATGTTCCTTGTTTTTTTACTTTGCCCCTGCACTTGAGCTGCCTTACTTGTGATTCTCTCCCCATGGCCCAGGCTGTATTTAGCATGCTGCTCGAGCAGAGTGCAGCTTTTCTGCTTCGGCGATCTTGTTTAAAAACAGATACAAAAAAATAGTATACATAACTTGCCAATTCATTCAGATCATCAGCAGCATTTATTGTGCGAGATGTAAATCTATAGTGATGCTCCTGCAATTGTGGCCACATTTCTTTATTTTCATATACCAGCTGCGATTCATGCGTTGCCTGCCCTGTCAATCATGCTTAATATGTTGGTTGAAGTTTCGCCTGTAGCTACAGGCCATACCTCAATAAAGGCAAATATAAAAATTTACACTTCCTACGAAAAACGCGCCGAAAAAAATATAGATAAGAACGAACGCGCCGACAGCTAGCGTCGCCACAGCCTCCACCAGGCGACCGGGGCGAGTTGAGGAAAAATTCTCTCGTCGCCGTGACGTCACCCCGGTTCGCCGTAAGGGGGCGCCACGCGAACTTCTCGGGGCTAATACGGCTCTGTTTCCCTGTCACCTATCGCGCCACCTATCGTTTAGCCGTGGAACACTTGGCAGTCCCACATACTTTTTTTTTCGCGCATATTTTTTTTTCTTGTCTCGAAAACCTTCTGTTGATGTTATAAATGACCACTTTTCGTAGGCAGTACGTAACTTTAATCTTGCAAATGCCGCAAAACTTTCGTTATACAACTTTTCCTGAAAGAGGTTATAAGGGGCAGGAGGTGGCGTTTGCGTATTCTCCATAGATGGAGTGAAGTGTACCGGAATTAGGCGTGGCTACAAAATGTCCCCTCCGTCTCAAAGCCACCATCGCATATCCCCGCTTGGTCGCTGCAGTGCGAGTGAAGCCACCGTAGGGCCATCTTGCATGCCGTTTTTTTTTCTCGTTTTGCTAGCGTTGCAGATATCAGCGGCAGTGTGCTAAAGACACGTTTTCTACTCGTTCGTTGTCATTTGCCGAAGTAGTTCTTTAACACCCTGTGTAAACCGTGAGACTTGCCGTTCAGAGTACGTGAACATTTTTACGGAAGCGCAGTGGCCCAGGAAGAAAAGCACAACTTGTCGAAAGCAAGTTTCGCTGTTCTCGCGGCGTGATCAAAGCTTCCTTGGCACGCCGAAGCGCTGCGTCTATGAGGCTTCGCACGCTTGGATACCGCGTGAGCCCCCTCTATAACGGGGGAAAATACCGCCTCAAGATGTTCTTTTCCCCTGTCTTTTTTCTTCGACCAAGTTTCCCAGCTTTTACCACAGTCTCGGGTATTCTACATTATGATCAACATCCACCAGCTCGCCTGCGCACTCACTGTTTTTTCATGGTTAAGAGACCCTTTTCAAAAGGGCTGCGCCAATTATCCCTGTCCGCATTTGCTTGGGCACTTATATATACTCTCAGCGTGAATTGGGCAGAAGCTAGGATTGCGTCAGCGTCCGGCGGGAACTCGGTTCAGCTATTATCGAAAACGATCGAGTTCGCGTCCGTGTTCGGCAAGGATTCGGATCCAATCACACGCTTTCTGCCCCAAAAATGGCGACCGCCATGTTATTCGACGGTCTTTTGAAAAAAAAGGATCTATGCGGACTGCAAGTTCGTCTGCTTCTCGGGGTTGCGATGACGTCAGAACGCCGCGCTCTGATTGATTCTGATTGGAAGAGTATAGTGGGCACACCTCAATGGCTAACTGCCTTGAGGTCTACCCACTATTCTTCTAATCCGAGCCAATCAGAGCTCCGTGTTGTGACGTCACCACAACCCCCGCGCGAGAAAGAGACGAACTTGCGCTCCATATGATCATCAGTTTGGATGGCTTAAAGGAGCGGTGCAACGATGCTCAATTGGAATGTTTTTCACTTTACACGAGCTTACCGGCACTAGTGGGACTCAAGGATACTCGCACGCAACGTCACTGGCCAAGAAACTTAATTGTTGCGGTGTAATTTCAAGGACAAAAGCCATCATTTTCATTCAATCTCTCCTTTGCAAAATTTGATGACGTAACGTCGGGATCGCAGTACACCCCAATGACGATATTTGAATGCGGTTCATAGATTGGACCCGAGCATTGCGTGCGCACTCGATTTGGGTTCGTGATAATTACTAGCTCGAAAAGCATTCGGGTAGTGGCCCGTGTCCAATCGCTGCGACGACGACAATAGCCGAGCCATAACAATGTCTGAAACTCGGCGCGTGTCCTGTGCTTTGCCAACTTTAGCGCGTGGTTATCATCAACATTGGTGGCATATAATCGGCTCCAGTTGGCCGCTTGTACTGGCTGCGAGTTGAGGGAATGAACGCTGCTCGTTTTTGTTTATTTTTTTTTTTTTTGGGACATCTATTGCGTGGGGCGAAAAACGAACGCGTGTTTCATAGGTCATTAACGTCAGGAATTCCTTCTGAGCGGTATTTGCGCAAAGTACAAAAAATTGTGGCATCGCCACTTTAACTGTCTTCTTGCGCTGCGAGACAAGGAAAGTGCAGATGGGGCGGTTTTAAGCTGAACAGCGTTCGAATCGCTAATCTCTTTGTCCCGATTAGTGTGTCTTCATATGCGTTTTGTTCAAAGTAATAACACAAAGTACGTCGCTTTTTTGTTTGCTCTGGACCGCATGAAAGGCGTCCCCTGATAAGGGCTATTAGGGAGTTTTCGTAGATCGTTTTCGCCGTCCCGCAACGCTTTCGCAACCCGCTACGGTACCCGGAACTCTACAGTCAAGGCCATCGGCGCGCAGGCGCAGTAGCGGCTTCTTCGTTGCGGAGGGCTTAGCGGAGGGGGAAACGCGGTCTACGAAAACTCCCTAGTGGCGTTCACTATGCTGCGGTGGCATCTTGCTACCGGTCATCTCTTTTGTATTTGATTTGTATGCGCGTGTCGTCAGCATCGGGTACTACTGGTACAACAAAGAATGGCATCGCCGTACACAGAAGGACATTGAAGCACCTTCCCGACCACCTGTGGGCCGAAAGCGGATGACTTGGTGTCGTTCTGTTGATAACGATGGTAAAGTTACCTGCCCTGGGCATATTGTGGATACTCTATGCGGAGCGCAAGATCGTCTGCCTCTTGCACAGGAGTTGAGGTGACGTCAGAACGACGCTGAGCTCCGACTGGCTTTGATTGAGAGGATAGTGGGTAGACCTCCATGCTAGATGCATTGAGGTCTATACCCACTACCACTGATCTCTATTGTAATAGGCTGGATCGCGGACCGCGGCCTCGGCAGCTGGGGCCGAGTGTCGCCACCGGTGGCCATTGATTGACACCAGCCAATGCATGGGACTCTATGGGAAGAACGAGAAAAAGTGACGTTTTCCCCTGCTTCTAAGCTGTTGTCGGCACTGGAACTTTTTGGATGCTTTTCTATAAGCCCGTCCAATAGCTTGCGTACAAACATTAGAACTGACAGCCGTCACAGTTCTTCTAAAAAAATATTTTGTGGTCGAGAGTGACTCCGCTGTAGTGCAGCTCAATGACGCGAGAGTTACCTGGAGTTACCGCCGAGTCGGTGGCGGTTTCGTTGAGTTGTGTTTAGCAGACGACAAGCTCGAAGGCTTAGCTACGCGGAATTCGCTCTCTCCCGGAAAGCAGCTGTCGATATGGAACTTCTTTGTCATTCGTCAACTTCTGGGCTCCCCTAAGGACGGTCTTATTGACGGCAAGCTCTTTTGTTTACTCCTCTACGAGAGCAAGCTCGCCAGCTCAGCCGTAGGTGCTCCGGTGCGTTTCATTTTTTGATTCGGTGACCGGACGTTTGAGAAATACCGATTTGATCTCCAAACATCCGAAATAACGATCGCAGCGCACCATAAAATACTCGCCTCCGAGCACAGCATACATGCTTCAGTATATGCTTACTTTTGTGCGTTTGTCCCATAGACCTGCGTGTATTGCCTGGTGTCAAGCAATGGCCGCCGGTGGCGACACCGACGGGCTTCCGATCCGCGATCCACCCTACTAAAATAGAGATCAGTGCCCACTACTTTTTTTCAACCAGCCAATAAGTGCTCGGCGTTCTGTCATCATCGCAATTCCTGTGCAAGAAGCAGACGAACTTTTGCTCCGCGTAGGTGGATCGATCGAGCGCTATTCTTTTGTCTCTGCACTGCCGTTCTTAAAGAAATGACCGAGTGGTGACCCCTTCACTCTTATTGCCAGGTGTCCTACAGACTTCGAGAGCTGCCTACTACGGTGCAAAGACGTTGCAATTTTGTGGCACGAGACTGGTCGGAAAATATAAGTTCCACCCAGAGAAGCTGCAAAAGGTACATTTTAAGGAGGACTCTGTAAATGATAGTGTAAACAGCACAGAACAAATGCCATCGACAAAACACGCACACAAATAATCGTGCATGCTTCTCAAAAAAAAAAAAAAAAAAAAAAAGGAAACGTGAACGTTGCGGCGCGCGCGTGCTACGTATTAAGTGAGGATATCAGTCACGAAAACAGCACGGCTTTCCTCCGACCTTCTTGCTGCCGTCTCCCCCATAACCTGTTTTCAGGAGGTTGGGGCAACACCGCCTAAAAGACGAGGCCACAGCGATAACATTTTTTTTGCGTCACTAGCGGAGGCTAGTGACTCAAATTGCACTCGTTTCCAATCTGGACACAGATTGGGAACGAGTGCTGCGTCAGTGCTCTGCTTCGAGTCAAGTTTGAGCCGAACTTTGACGGAATCGTCGTGTCCAGTTGGTGCCCAGCGTTGGCCTTCGCTGATGACGACATTTCTATCAGCACTACGCGGCTCTGTTATCTACGAGGTGTTGGTTGTGGATGCCTTGACGACAGCCAGCAGGGCGTGTTGCTGACTCTCCTGACCCACGTGATGAGCACGCTTCAAGCCTCTGTCTAAAAACGGAAATGAAGAAATAGCTTTTCCCCCGGCAAAAAACAGCGTCAAAATATTCCGAAAGTGGGTTCATGCCGGAGGAAGCCCTCAACCTCTGGTGCAGGAAATGCTGTGAACTGCAAAAACCGTGTCCTCTTTGAACAGCCCTTAGCGTTGGCAGAAAACGGAGGGTTCACCTGTATGGAAGGACCGACACGCAGACGTTAGTGCTGTCTGCGAAGACGATGTAACCTAAGTTGCCATAAGATCATACGTTTTGCCAAGAGTGTTTTAAGTATGTTGGAAGAATGGCGACTTTCGGACGTAGGTCGCCATAAGTTTTGTCAGGAGTGTAACCAAGTATGTCAAGGAAACGCCGGCTTTTCAATTTGAGGCTTCGGGGAAGCTGTTTTTCGAGGTAATCCAATCAGTTTCTCTCAGGTTCGTGTCTTTGGCACTCGATTCAACGAAGAATAGCGACGCGAGCAGGCGGCGACGCCAAGACGGACGCGTCTCCCGCTTTCCGGCGACTCACGCGTCGAATTTCGGCGTGTTTACCGCTCGGGGTGGGTCGGGAATCTACCGACAATGATGTCATGCACAGACCTCGTCTAATTCTAAGTGGCAGTGCGCTGTGCTCGCTCGTAACTGCTGCTTACGACGAGAGAACACTCTAGGGAACACGCTGGCACACTGGCGCCATCTATCCAGTAGCCCCAAAACATTTTGACCAAAGTTCATTTTTTTTCTGCATCATTCTTTCACTGTGGGCTGACAATATCTCATAAGCGACCACTCCTTATAGGCCGGTCATGGATATAACCTCGCTAATACGGGAAAACCTTCGGTTTAGTTATAGCCTATCGGCAAAGCGGAAGTGTTCCAGGGCTCCTTGATAAATGGCGCCAGTTAGCGTGTTCTGTTAGTCTTTTATTCGTAGGCAGTTACAATCGAGCGCGACTCGCAGGAGCATACTCAAAAGCAGATATGCCAATTAGCACTTCGCCAAAAGGGAGTTTTCGTTGACCGTTTTTCCACCTCCTCTACGCTCTCCGGAACGAAGATGCCATTAGTGTTCATGCGCTGTGCTATTCTTTCCTGCAGTCCCGGATATTGTAGCGGGTTGCAGAGAGCGTAGCGGGACAGCTGAAACGATCCACCAAAACCCCCTATTAAAGGGTCTCGCCGGCCTAAATATAGCGATCGTAGGTATTCACGCCACGCGCAATTATACGTACCTTCGATTGCTCTGCTAAACTATCAAACCAAAAATAACTAACATTTCATCGGACAATAATTCGAAAAGCTGAGATTTCGATACACACGTTTTCGTTTCGCCACTCGATGAAACCTGTGACATTACAGATAATACTATCGCCACTACTCGTGGTGTAACGCCTTTCGCTAGATCCCCACCTTACCAACCTTGAGGGTGTCATCTCGACTCTGCTGAAGTGTCCGTTTGGCCGACGGCTCCATTCGGCTGGAATCTCCGCTTCGGCTGGACGCTTCAATTCGGCTAAATCTCCAATTCCTCTAGAATCTCCGATTCGGCTGAACGCTTCAATTTGGCTAAAACCTCAATTCGGCTAGAATCTCCGATTCTGCTGGACGCTTCAATTCGAATAAATCCCCGATTCGGCTTGAATTTCAATTTCGGTTGAACGCTTTAGTTTGGCTAGATCCTGTTACGTCACGGCTCGTTTAACGAACGAGTTGCAGTACAGGAATTTTCAAACGCGTTTTATATGATTTATTCTTCAAATCGCGAGCTGAAATTTTGTGGACACTTCTACAAGGACGTCCTGATATCTGAGACAATGTTTTTATACGAAACTAACGACGTCCCTTTTAAACGTTATTTGATTCAGAATTTATAGGGGATTTACGGAAATTTTCAATGGGAAAATGGTCGCCGACAGTGCCCTAGAATACAATAAAGCTGACTCGAGCCAGTTACCTAAAACTGGCCTCATTTTGCCGTTGAAAGTTTAAGAAAATCACTTTAACTTCTTAATATGATAACGGTTAGTACTGAAACTTTGGCATATGCATGGTTATGACTGCTAGGGCTATATACATACGGACGGTTGTTTATTTTTCCAATAAAAACACACTACTTTTTTTCTTTTTAGGGGGGTGGGGGGACGCTGTTGATGTATTACTGTCTAAAAAGGTATATCCTCTTTCCAGGGAATTTCGAAGGTCTGCCTGCTGTTCCGCCTCTGCTTTCACAAACACCGGACTGTACTGGAGACAGAGGTACTAAACTTATCACACGGTGACGTTATATTTATTAGAGATGTCCTTAAATCTGGATTGGAAAAGGCTTGAACTGAAAACCAGTTATTCTCCAATTCAAGCGTGGGCCGCATCCCTTGAGCCATAATGGCGCTGTATGAACGAGGTACGCCACAGCGCAACCGGTTTAATGAAACAGCCGCTCTTTAATATCGATATTGAAGATCCGAAAATATACCGGGTTGGTTCGAGAAAATTAAACCCGGCTTGTCGGCCTGCATCAATGAACTACTCATCGCAGAAAGCTGTAACTCCGCGAAAATGTGATGTTCGCTTTCGCGGTGGTGGTAAGATGCGAAAGTTAAAGCCCACAACGTCACCCCCCCCCCCCCCCCCCCCCCCCCGCGAAAAATAAAAAAGCTTGAGGTACATTTAAGCATTTCTTACGAGTTGTGAATACGAAAGCATGCACGTCACTCTTCCGTTCCCTTATTTCGTCTGCAGCGTAACTTGCGTCGACGGTCAAGAGTGCCTTCAGCGGGACATGAAGTAGATACAACATAAGAAAGAGGGCGAGGGGGAAAACGGCGCGCACGTAGGAAAGCTGAAGTGAAGAGGGGCGACCTTTTTTCCACAACGGCTTTTCACTTTTTAATTGCTCTCCTCAGCGCGCTGACCTTGGGCGTGGAGCCACTGCCTCGCGGACACGCAGCGCCATGGGGTGGCGGCCGTTGAAACCATAGCCTCCTCTATACGGAGAAAGCCTGGCACATCGACGACGGAGCCATAGGGCGCGCGGCCGCAGGAAAAAGGAGAGGAGGAGCGCGCCGACCGGTGACCAATATGGTAGCGCAGAGCAGAAAAGGCAGACCTAGACAGCGAGCGCTTGGGTCATGAGCGGCCGCTTCCCGAACCACGCTTGTTTTTGTGTTTTCGTCACCGTCGTTTTCGTACTCCGGGAGAAATGGGCGCGGCGATTCGAAAGGGTGCAGGGAGAAACGGGAAAGGGTGGACGTTGAGTTTCTCCTCTCCACGATAGCGACAAGAAAAGAGAGAGAGAGAAAAAAAAAAGATTGTTTCTGCGTTTGGCCGCTCGCTCTTCTGTGGCGCTAGCAGGCAAGGTTCTCTCCGGTACCGTTTCTCCGCCCCTCCTTTCCCATTTACGGCGGCCGTCTTTTCTCGCGGGAGGCTATGTTGAAACTGACGCGTAGCGGACAATGGGAGCCTTTTTAAGCCTTTTGCGACTTCTTAGGACCGGATGCGTTGCAGCGGAGCTGGTCCTAAGTGTTCGCAAGAGGCTTAAAAACCGGTCTGACCTCTCGCGGTTTTACTCGGTCGCAAGAGTGTGAACGGGCCTTTACTCCGCTCCTTTGGTATCTGGGAAACAAGGTGCCGTTCGGCTAGGCTTTTCACGTGGTTTCATAGCTGATGACGTCGGCTCGCTCCGTGGGACCCAGTTAATGCTTCCGCATTAAAAATGCTCTCTGTGCGAACGATACGGCCCCTTCGCGCCTAACGGAGTAACGGAGGCAAAGCGCATGACAGCCCTCACTAAAGGTACAGGAGCGAGAGCGTAGCCCGAGCAGTTGAAAAAGAGGGAAAGGAGAAACTCACCTTTTTCCCGGGACCTTTTTTGTGTGTCCCAGACATCGCTTTTGTCCCTCTCGGAGACTGGCACTGCGAACAATATTCGCAGAACCGCAGATATTCTCTCTCTCCCGCCCGTGGCCTCGACAGCACTGCGCGCAACTATACATGGCTCACACGTGACCTTAGTCCGCCCTGCTTTTTGGTGGCCAAAAGCGTCTCAATAACGCAGAGGTGACTATACGCTCTCACGCGCCCTTTCTCCTGTTATGTCTGACCAACTGACGTCGGTGCAACCCCCAAAACCACAGTAAAAGTAGTCAGGCGCCTCGCGGGACGGTACTAATTTTCCCCTCCATGTATTGAATCAAGGTGTATGTTGGTGCGTCCTAGCTCAGCAGTATGTCATTTTATCGAGACATGTGCACGTTTCAATCGCCAAAGTCATCGTTCACTTCTTCGAGAACCAAATATTGTAAGAACTACTTTGCACAGCGCATGCATAATGTGCGAAAAACTTCCTTTTTTGCTTGACGTGACAACGAGTATAGTGAGGTATAGCTGGAATTCCGTGTTTTCGGGTAAATAATAAGACAAAAAAATCCGAAGAAGAACACTCGCCGGTAAGTATTTTCTCAATTCTGATATATCCGAAGACTCCGAATTTCGACGTCACAACGACAAAATAAAGATGAAAAAGACGGTGTTTTACAACTAAACTTTATAAGAAGCTGCAGGGTCAGTGATCCTGAGGAGATATCACTTCAGTTTCCTTTGAAATCTCAATCTACTGACAAAAGGCTCGTCAAGATCCCTCAGGACAACGTGTCATGATACCCGAATATTATCTATTTTGTTTCTTAATTTCTAAAAATTGGGAACGCAATAAAACAAACTCCAGATTAAAAAACAAACAAAAAAAACTCGAAAATAAAAAAAAAAAAAAAAAAAACCTAACTTTTATGAACTTTGAATTTTCAGCTAAAAATAATACCGAAAAGTAGCCTCTGGGTTTCACCAGAAATAAACTCAGAAAACACGAAATCCTACTTATATCGGAAGTTGTCGAACTAATAAGTCTCGAGGAAACCCAAACTGCCATGGATCGCTGCCGAGGAACCTCTTGCAAAGTTTAGTTGAGCTAGTTGGTACATATTTATGATGGGCCAGCTTGAACTTACAGAATCTTACGAAGAAAGGACGCCCTTTCTTCGTTTGTTTCTGTAAGCTCAAGCTGGGCCCATCACCGAAGGGGAGCCTCTCCCGGTCTTGGCATTGACGCAATAAAGCGGTGCAGAGGTCCGCAGACCTCATACACAACTCAATGCGCATGCTAGGTAACGTTGGGCTCATAGTTATGCTTCAGTGGGTGACTCGGAGATTGCTCAAACTGGAGAACCACTTCGCTCAGGGTTAGGGACGGTCGAAAAAATTTGGGAGCACCTGGAAACTTTGATGCTACTCTTCTCTGGGTTTCTGGGAATCAAGTTTGAGGACCCACGAGGTAGAGTACAGGCAAATTTTTTCCTCCGACGCTCTGATTGAATTGAGTTAAATAGAGTTGAATTGAAGTTTATTTGGATTTTCGCGGGCCAAGAGTGGTAGTAGGGTAGAAACAATAAGCATTTAGGCCTGACTTAGGCCTTCATTCCTCCGTAGTTTGCAGCAAGTACACACACCTTTAGAAAACAGAAGATACAGAGATACACACATGAAAAACAAACGCCTGGCACATTTATATGCGTACTATATATATATACTTAAAACACACACACACACAAACTTACATGGGACAAAAGGGATTACTTGCATGATTTTTAGGATAGAATGTTAAGTCCTGTTCAATTGATAATTTATACGTTCGAAATAAATATTTGAATCAATATAGAGGGAAAAAGTAAACGTGTCCTTCGCCGTTTGCCAAGTTACAGTGAGACGGAGTACAAGTAGCGAGCACTTTTGGGAAGGGTCTGGTTCTTTCGGAAACATGAACCGCTTGGAGAAAGCATCGGGCATCGGCAATCTCGGAGGCCATGAGCGGGCCGCGGATAGATGACGCAGCGACTCTTAGATGGCGAATAAGTTTCGTGAATAAGCAAGAGACTGAATATTCGCACTCAAGGAACATACTACTGCAAAGAATTCATTCAACGCTTCCAAATAAGCCATTAAATTCAGTCCATCACGTTTCAGGGTAGAGACAACTACAAGGATGCCATCTACGATTGCGTCGCGAAGCATCTAAAAATGATATTTCTCAAGTTGAATCCGGTAAGTTAGTCTGGCCATTGCGGCATTGAACTGTTTATCCATAAATTCGCAATTGAAAAATACAACAAAAATACCTTATGCACCTAAACAATTTACATCCCACCGTTCCACATAAAGGAACCATATGACATATGTGCAATTTTCTCAATGATGAACGCACGGGTCAGTTTGATATTTGACCATGGTTGTCCATCATACTTTCAGTGCCACATAAAATTCATTGCTTTATTCTACCTATCTTTAATAACTTTGAAATTAAGACATTTTAATTCAATAGATTCGACGCAGAGCACTGACATTATTTTTTTTTTTGTGCTTCACATGTCTGATACGTGTATGAGATGCGGGAGATGGTCTCGAATCCCTTAAGATTGTGCAGTGCAATATTTGAACTAATTAATTTTAAATTCTTATACGTTTGTTTAACGTTATATTGGGATAAGGTAAGTCGTATGAATGCACGTGGCACTTTTAAGTAGGCTGGATTTCATCGGTTTACACCAGAAAAGCTCGATGACGCGTCATATCGCGAAAAATAGGCTGTTCCTTCCTGGAAATCAAATATGGTTAAAGGGGTGGCTAACTTTCAATGTGCGCCCCCAACCCCCCCCCCCCCCCCCCCCACCCCCCCAACCCCCCCCCCCCCCCGTCCGCCCCCCCAAAAAAAGGCGACAAGAAAACTTTTACGGAAATGCCATATGTATGATCTTAACTAATATATAAGAATTGCGCAAGTGATGCCACATGTAGCCGTTTTATAGACATGGCACACGTGATATGTTTGCCCCCCCCCCCCCCCCCTACGCACACACACACACACAGTCCGATAAGTTTGGTCAATTTCAAGTGAATCCTCCCACCCTACTCTATTTGCTAGATGGTGACGGGCTAAGAGTTGAGGGGAAGCTCCGCCCCTTTCCACTTTAGCAGAGCTAAGGCTGGAGAGGAGGTCGCCCCCTTTCTGGCATTCGCTCTGCTGAAAGGAAAAGAGGAGCTTCCCCTGAACTCTTAGACTGTCACCAAATATAGACATTTTTCTATTGGAGTGTACGCGTTTAATCTTATCGGCGTTATGTTCTGTTTTAAGTGAGGAATGAATGAAGTACTGAAAGCGCTGAGATTTTTGTTCACTATCCGGTATTTAAATAGAAAAAATAATCTCTAGAAAAATGAAGTAATATGTAGGATCTTTATTTTCTTATATAATGTTTTGTATCTGTCATTTTAAGATAGTGAACACGTGTATTAACTTCTTCCAGTCTTCTACTTCAGCCATCGGTTCGTGGTAATTGAATGCATACCATGGAAACCAATTAATAAACTAAATAATAAACTGTCCCGGCATCGCCAACTTTATTGAATCTGAGCCGTCGTGATCTCTAAATGTATGATATGCTACTGCATTGACACTTCCGAAGCACTTTAATAATTTTACCAGCTCTTACAAAAGTCGATCGATGAATCAATTAGAGGCCACCTACTAATAGGCTACTATTTTAATCGATGCACAGCCCTAAGTTGAAACGTAGCCAAAAACTCTCGGTTCACGCGTATGTTTCGTTGCAGGAATTCTGTGCAAACAGCACATTCGCCAAACTCGACCACTTCGTGGACGAAGGAGCGGTGAGCACAGTCATATTATTATTATTTTTTTCTTTAAGCCGCGGGCTTTTTTTTAAAATTTTATATAACAGCGGTACAAAAGACAGTCTGCGAACACTGGTGTGTTTCCCGTTAACGCGAAACGTTCTTTGGCTAGTTGCGTCGGATTTCGTGAAGCCGTGGCCTGCGACGTCCCGTGATGCAACGCGCGCAGTGTTGCATTATGGGGCGTCACAGACGTACACACCGATTCAGTTTCTCCGGTAAACTTAGCGGGGAAGTCGAGTTAGCGTATAGGTCGCGTGACGTCAATTTCCCCGCTAATTTTAGCGGGAAAATTAACGTCTCGTAGCCTAAACACAACAATTCAGTTTCCCCGCTAAATATAGCGAGGAAATTGACGTCATGTGATTTAACGTCACGCGACGATAGAACGTTTCACGTATGCGGCACGTCTGCCCAGCAAATCGCCGTACAATTTTTTTTTTATGTAGCGATTTTATCACGTCGGCCGTACAAGAACTGTCTGCAGAGATGAACGAAGCAAACAGACTTCACACACGCGTGGGGCGCCTCCGTAGATAATCCTGTCATCGTGTATGATGTATGCGGGCGGTGTGATCTCCCGGTTAAGAGAAACACCGATGTGTTTTTCGAGTCGAGTCTGGTTCACACATTTGCGTTTTGAGTGCGGTCGTGCGCTACGACGAATCGGGACCGCTTTACGACGCGATTGAGCTCTCTATATAGCACCATCTCTCCCGCAGACCTAAAGCGGGTGGCACTTTCTAGTGTGCACATATCGAGACCGAAGGTTCTGCAGTATTTGCGAGATCTAATCTAAGCACTGTTTATATATATAAAAAAAAAATGGCCGCTTATAACGTTGCCGGAATTATTCCAAGCCCATAAAATAAAAAAAAAAAGCGAAAACCAAACCAGCAAACATGGATTGGAAGTGTGACTACCGCGCGTAGATGGCGTCTCTTGTCAGCTGTCCCTAAAGCCCCGTGACAAACCAGAACCCATCGAGGGGCCTTGGCTGACACAAGCGGTCGATCACACACATACACACACACATACACTCACACGCGAACGCACGCACGCACACAAACAAAAAGTACGAACCAACCTTTATCAGCTGGCTATTGATGTTTGTTGATGGTAGCCTCCTGGAGGCGCTGATGGACATTGTTAGAAACCGAAACCGACGAATACTATAAACCCGTACTCAAAGCTTGTGTTGGTGAAATGAACGCTGCGGCGATACACCTGTCAAGTGGCCACAATGATGTCGTAGAGGAAACAAAATAAAAGGAAATAAAATAAATGAAGCTCGCTTATGGCTGTACCCATAGTTTGAAACATAATCAGTCGGGCATCCGCTCTTCGTGAGCACATAAAATAAACCAATGAAAGAATGAATTAATGCGTTTGCTGCGCGGTGGCGCTGCAGCCGTCATATCCCAGTGTATGGAGACTCATTCACAAAGAAGCCTTTGACGACTTTTCGGGAACTAATGTCGTCTTTAATTACGTTGAGCTCCGACTGAGAGTTAGCGGGTCACCCGTACTTCTTGTAAAGTGGAGATCTTGACACATGCGAACCACGAATTTCCCGACAACTCGTAGTCTTGACGCCAGGTAGTAGTCCTTGAGCTACTCAATCGAACTATACACTTTCGGAATGCCAGGGGTTTACTCTTTCCTGTAAACTCTTCATTACCTATAACTAAGGAATAGTGATTGAGGAAACGACAAACGAATGTGATGCCAAGACCAACATTCAAGTTTCTCCGCGCTTTTCATTGGCATAGCACCACGCATGTTATAAAATGCTAAATATATATATATATATATTTGTGGAGGTGTTATCAAAGGCGGAAAGCTCGCGCTGGAGGTGGAGGTGTTATCAAGGGCAAAAAGCTCGTTCTGTCGGCGGAGGTGTTACCAAAGGAGGAAAGCCCGCGCAGGAGGTAGAGGTGTTATCGAAGGTAAAAAGTTTGCGCTTGAGGCGGATGTGTTATCAAGGGCATAAAGTGGGGTCTGGATGCGGAGGTGTTATCAAAGGCGGAAAGCTCGCGCTGGAGGTGAAGGTATCAAAGGTAGAAAGTTCGCGCTAGAGGCGGATATATTATCAAGGGCATAAAGAGCGCTTTGGATGTGGAGGTGTTATCAAAGGCGGAAAGCTCACGCTGGAGGCGAACGTGTTCTAAAAGGAAAAAAATGCTCGCGCTGGATCATTCCATAAAGCAGTTCTGCAAGGCGCCACTTTCAGCGTTCGTGCATATGGCGCGTAATTTGCTCGCTTTGCGTAGTGACGAACATGCGCGTGCATGTTGGGCTGTGGAGATCGCACGCAGGGCTGTGAATTTGCAAACATTGAAGAGCTATATAGGTGAAGCTGGCACTCAGAGAATGGGGCAAGCATAACGGTCATACAGGTGTATTTATTTTTTCTTTCAGCCCTGTTTGCACGAGCACGACATTTTCCACACAGACGTCAAGGCGGCGCTTGCAGCTCTGCGTTGGCTCCGGGAAGCCTTCTTCTGAAGCTGGCAGACACAAAGTTGGCACGCCGAAAGCTGCTCAAAATAAAACGAACGTAGACTATAACTGTTGCCGGCGTTGAATTAAAGAACAGTTTTAGTGGATCGTATACTAAAGCTTTGCACACTCAAAAAAAATTGCGGGTCGAGAGTGCGCATTCGCAAAACGCCATAGAAAGACTAGCGTATTACGTACGCACGCAACGCTGGAGATTTTGCGTTGAGGGCTAGCGGGATTTGCGGGAAGCTCTCGGGGGATCTCCCGCCCAGCGAGAGCACAAGTTTCAAAATGGCGGCTACCTCGACTGACGCAGCAGGGGCGATGTGGCGATCTGGTGTTCGCAAAGTTCAGTGTTAAGTGAAGTTGCGTGGTGTTCAGCTCGGCTATTCTTTCCGGGATCTACCGCGGTCGAATCAAATCACCGTGCAGCTGAAGGAGTGCGCAGTGAAAATGTTCACCGCTCGCAATGTGCGTGAACGCTGCGATCTGCTTAAAGCGAAGCGTCTTTCCGCAGTTCATCGCCGACGGACGAACGACTCAAGAAATCGCAGAGGTTGTCGCTATGCACTGGACATTAGTAGGTCATTAATTGCGAGTGCAATTCTGAACGATGAGAAAACCAAAATTTATCATCGATTAAAGGATTAACAAAGTTGTGCTACAAAACGAGATGCCGAGGGAACGAGAGTCTTATTTTTGCTAGGCCGCTTTATCTTGCAGTGCGGACTAAAGGCAACAGTGGCATATTCTCGGGGCGATGAGAAGTCGTCAGTCGGAGAAATGACATCACACACCACACAGAGACACCGCACGCCGAACGTGGAAACGAACTTGAATGCCCTTGCGCCTATGCGAATAGTGAGAATATGCTGGCTCTTCGGAGTTTCTAATGTTCCATGCAACAAAAATATTAATCTAATAACGAATTGCGTCGGGTGCCACCCCGACATGAAAAGCAGAAAGCAAGACGGACTTCATCGCATCCGTGAGCGACCATCGAGAAGGGCGTCTCGATGGAGGGAAATTTCACGAAGTGGGAGGGAAAGTTCGCCAAAAATAGGGGAATTTTAGGCGTCCAACGAAAGAGGGAGAAACGTGAAACGCTCGTCACGTCGGCGCTACAGGCGGTCGCCCTCTTTACGGAGGCCCTATTCCCAGACGTCTATCGTCTCCTCAATATCCTAGCGACTCTGCCCGTAACAACGGCGGAAGCTGAGCGCTCGTTCTCTTCACTACGACGGTTGAAAACACCTGAGTGCGTCCACTTCGAATGAGCGACTGCTCGGTCTAGTGCTTTTGAATGTTCACCGCGACATTGAAGTTTTGGCGGTGGACATTTTGGATATTCTTTGCCGTGAACGCAGGGGGCTGCATCTTAATATGTAGGCGCTTGACATAAATGGAATGATCAAGGGAGCCTGTAAATTGCTTTTTGAAATAACTATAGACACAGTTATCTTTTTTTTCGCGGTAATTTCTAGTCGAAAGCACGTAATTCTGATCAGTACACAAGGTGTGCGTGAGTGCAGCGCTTACACTGCCATTGGTTTTACAATTCATCTATATTCCTTACATCTCTGGCATTGCTTTATTTTATCACCATGTGTGCGCTTTATTATGTACCCTTTAGTTTGATTTAACTATTGTGGGTGTCCTATTGCCCCTGCCCGCTCGGACCGCGCTCCGTTCGCTCACCGAGAAACCAGACGACACCAGCCGACAAAAGAAGAGGTTTTAAAAATACAGTTCTCTGCTGTGCCGGTGGCTTGGCCTCCCCGGTTGTGGTGACCGCCGCTGCCTTGCAAGTCTGCCTCGATGGTGCAGGCCCTGGTATCAGGTGAAGGTCTGGGTCCGCGACCCCGCGATGGAAAGGCTTCTGTCCTCGAGCTCCGCCGGATTCGACTGCCTCGCCCGTGCTGTCCCGTCCCACCTCTTCCTTTTCCCTTTTTCTTCTCGTCCCTCGCGCCTCGCCCTATGTCTCTCTTCTTCCTCGTCCCCTACATCCTCCCCCCCTCAAGCGTCTGGTCCCGGGTACCGAAGGCTGGGGGTGTCACCTTTTCAAGCGTCTGGTCCTGGGTACCGGAGGCAGGAGGTATCGCCTCCTCAAGGAACTCGTCAATGTCTTCCATTACTGTATCTTTGGCAGGAGGTGGAAGCACTTCGGTTGTAGCTAGTGTTCGTGGAGCCGGAATTGGTAAAAACGGAGGCTGTTCGGCGGGGGAAGGGTCTGGGGTTGACTCCCCGGTTGTCATTTCCTCGACTAGGGCTTCGTTTGGGTGTGTTTCGGCTTGGGCGGGACTCAAGGCAGCTGGATTCAGGAGGTCGGGCCGGTTCCTGCGGAGCAACTGTACCGCTGCCGCTATGCAGACGAGGGGGCCCATTGTCTTTAACATGTCCGTGTGCCGACGACTGGCCTCGTGGGTTTCTTGGTGCACAACCGGGACCCGGCATAACCAACAGGGGTTCAGCTGGTCTTGTGCAAAGGAAAAAGCCGGCAATGTGCGTCCCCTGAAGGGCTGTGGGACCTGGTCGAGGGGTTGGGACGGGGTTGATCTCGGTTGGTCTCTCCAACGCTGTCTTGAAACAAAATGCCGGTCTTCTCGCCCGTCGCACGTCGTCCAGGTTGCCACGGTGTGGCAAAGGGGCCTGCGTCCCCTTGGTCTTCCCCTCTCGGTTCCGTTCACACCGTTCTGCGTTGACTCTGGTTGTCCCCTCGACGTAGCTGGGCTCACCCCGTTCGGAGTAGAAGACTGAGCGGGGGAACCAGCTCCTCGGAAATGGCGTGGCCGTCTCCATGGGCGGCCTCCGCGCGAGTTGGACCGGTCTGATCCAGATCGGCTAGCCGAACCGTTTGGGGAAGTGGAGCTCCCCGCTTCCCACTGCATTGAGCCACCGGCTGGTCTACCCCAGGGTCGATAACTCTGTGGGCTGGGCCAGCCAGCCTCTTGCCACCCAGCCTGGCTGCCTCCCGAACCGGGTGGTCTTGTGCCTGATCCCGGTTGACCTCCGGGACGGTAGCCTCCGCGTCGACCTCTCCGGGGTGGCATTCTGGGCAGAAGAAACACAATTAGTAACCCTGAAAATATAAATTTCTAGGCCGTAAATCGTAATGCCGGGCAGAACTACTGTCGAGTTCTTCCCCGACAGGTTCATGCACCGTTTGACTGCCGCGCTTACAGCGCGTTGTGGGTTGCACGTCAGAAACGCCCGGGACAAGGAGTTCCTCGTCCCCTTGTGTGCGTTCTCGTTCATCGTCATCCCGATCACGAAGATGGTACTTTTTCAGGTCTGTGATGTGAACCGGGCCAGACTCCTCGTTCGTATTTTGCCGAGCAAGCCTGTAGGTAAGACGTGACTGTCGTGCCCTTACCACGTAGGGCCCTTCCCACTTTGGAGCAAGTGAGGCTGCGAATCCGCTCGCTGCATTGCTCAAAGGATGGGTTCTCCTAAGGACCAGGTCCCCCACCTTGTATTCCAGGTGACGATGACTCTTATCGTACTGGGCAGCCTGCTCGATCCTTGCAGCATTGAGATTCTCTTTAGCGTCGTGCATTGCGCTCGCCAAGCGGTTCTTTAATTCTACCGCGTATTTAGAAAGTGAGCCCTGTTCTGTAATCCGTTCTCTAGCGGAGACGGTAGTACTTTACCCAAGTTTAGAAGCGCTGGCGTGAACCCAGTCGATCTGTTCACAGTCGTCCGGATGGCGAAGCTCATCTCGCTGACGTACTGATCCCGGTCCCGGTGTCTCTCTGTTAGCGCGATCAACATGCTCTTCAAGTTGCGATTCACTCTTTCAGTGATATTAGCTTGAGGATGGTATGGTGTTGTCCTCCTGTGTTTTATGTTTAGCGCCAAGCAGGAGTCAGTGAACACTCTGCTGGTAAAATAGCTAGCATTATCGCTGATGATACACGTGGGTGTACCGAAGCGCATGAACGTTTCAAACAACTTCTCCCAGATGCGCTCCGAGACCAGCTTCCTCAGCGGGTGTAACTCCACCCATTTTGAGAAATGATCGGTTATTACCAATAAATACTTGTTCCCACGGGGACTTTTTGGAAGTGGGCCGATGATGTCGCAAGCAACCATCTCCCACGGGTAGTGACTCACTACAGGCTGCATCAGGCCTGGGGGCTTTCCCCCTCGCGGCTTCGCTTTCTGGCAGGCTGGGCAGCTACGGGCGTATCGGAGTGTGTCCTGTCTCATCCCCGGCCAGGTCGCGACGCGACATAACTTTTGAAAAGTCTTGCTGCCGCTGCCATGACCAGCCAAAGCCGAGTCGTGGAAGTATCCGATAGACCGCCTCCGTAGCCTCCTAGGAATCACCACCCTGAACGGAGAGTCGTTCCCCTCCTCGTCGTCGATTGTTGGAATGTAGCGGAGCAATAAGCCGTCCTGACCCAGCAGGTATGAATCAATATGTTCGTTAAATTGACCGCCAGCGTTCCCGGTGTTGCTTGCCATTTCCGCAATTTTCCCCAACACCCGCTGACAAAAACCATCTACCTTTTGGGCCTCGACAAGCTCTTCCTTGCTCACCACTTGACCCCAAGCCACGATCCTCTGTTCCCTCGTGCGGCCTCCTAACACTGCGACGAGCTCCTGTTGCATCGATCCCTTCCCGCTGTCTCGCTTATGAGCGGCCGCGCGGGAAGCTTGTCTCTCGCAATCCCCTGGTTGCGTATCCTCCTTCCAACCACTATCATGGGGCGCCCGAGAAAGTGCGTCTGCAACCTTGTTGGTGGAGCCCTTTCGGTACTCTACAGTATAGGAGTATCGCTGCAAAGTGAGTGCCCACCGAGCTAACCTCCCCGCCGGCTCTTTCAACCTTTGAATCCAGGTGAGAGCGGCGTGGTCTGTCTGAATGACGAAGGTGGTCCCGTCTAAATACAGGTCGAATTTCTTTAGAGCAAACATGACGGCCAGCCCCTCCTTTTCCGTCACGCTGTAATTGCGTTCTGGCGGTGTAAGGGTTCGGCTGGCGAATGCCACCGGGCGCAGCTGTCCGTCATGTTCTTGCAATAACACCGCTCCGACACCGTAGTCGCTCGCATCTG